CACTTGGTAGCCCAGGCTGGCCTCGAACTCACAGAGATCCGCCTGGCTCTGCCTCCCGAGTGCTGGGATTAAAGGCGTGCGCCACCAACGCCCGGCCGAGAAGTCAGATCTTGTTAAGACAGTTGTGAGCTGCCATGAGGGTGTTGGGAATTAACCCGGATCCTCTGGAAGAGCAGTCAGTGTTCTCAACCTCTGAGGCATCTCTCCAGCCCAATTTTATATTTATTTATTTATTTTACACACACACACACACACACACACACACACACACACACACACACACATATAAATTTTTTTTAAAGACACATTCTCATTACATAGATCAGGCTGGTCTGGAACTCAGATTTACCTGCCTCTGCCTCTCAAATGCACCACCATGCCCAGCTCCAGCTTTTTTTTTTTTTTTTGAGATCACAATTACAACATTTCTCCCTTCTCTTATACTCCTCCTTGCTCTCCTTGAAATTCATGGCCTCTTTTCCCATCATTTTTATGCATGCATATGTGTATATAAACATATATATTTCTAAATATAACCTGTTGAGTCCATATACAAGTTACTTGTATATATGTTTTCAGTGCTGACCATTGGGCATTGAACAACTGATAAGTGTGCTCTTCCCTGGGGCAGACCATTTCTCTCATTCCCAGCTTTCCTCTGTTGCTTTAGTTCTTTTTCCCCCCTAGAGTGAGTTAAATTTAATCAGGACCATATATACATTGCTTTACAGTTTTAAAAACATTTTGTACATTACCAACTCCTTTATGCTCCTTCGTCTAAAAAATCTGTCTTCGAAGATACATTTGCTATTATCCAGGGTAATTCCTATATCTGTAATTTCTCTTTTTTTAATTAAGGAATTTTTTATTCATTTTACATAGCCAACCACAGGTCCCTTCTCTCTCCTCCCCCTCGCCCTTAGTTCTTCATGTAGGGTTGAGGCCTCATGAGCTTTTCCCCGTTCAGTTTATTCTGTTCATTGGTCATCTTGTTCAGCTCACATTTGGGCAATAATGCTTGAGTAAATTTTGAAGTAAAATGAAAAACCTGTCTATCAAAACCTATAGAATGATTTGGGCTAGGGAGATAGCTTAGCCAGGAAGGCACGTGGCACCCACATGAAAAGCTGGGCGTGGCGGTGTGGTCTGCACTGGGAGGCAGGTCCAGGCAGATTCCTGGGGCTCACTAAGTGCCAGCCAGCCTAGCCACCTAGCCCCAGGTCCCGAAAAAACAGGTAAATAGCTCCCCCCATCCCTTGAACCCAGGGCCTTGTGCTTGCTAGGCAAGCACTCTACCCCCCCCCTTTTTTTTAAAGATTTGTTTATTTTATGTGCAGTGGTGTTTTTCCTGCATGCATGTCTGTGTGAGGGTGTCAGATCCCCTGGAACTGGAGTTTCAGACAGTTGTGAGCTGCCATGTGGGTGCTGGGGACTGAACCCCGGTCCTCTGGAAGAACAGTAAGTGTTTCTAACCACTGAGCCATCTCTCCAGCTCTGGTAAATAACCTCTGGCCTTCACATGCATGTGCACATTCATGTGTTCATTCTCAGTCACGTGTATGTGCATCTATGCAAGTGTGTACGCGCGCGTGCGTGCACACACACACACTACAGCTGGGCATGGTGGTATATTCCTGTAATCCCAGTAGTTGAGAAGAACCACCAGATGTTCAAGGCTAGCCCTGGCTACATTGTGAGGGAATGGGGAACCAATAATATTCCACAACGGCTTTTGGAATTAAGACAATCTAGTATCAAAACTGGGAAATAAGGAAAACAAAAATACATAAATTTGAAAAATAAATGCTAGAAAAAAGTACCTCACACATCTATATTAACTCAAAAATGTAAAAGCTGATGGTTTCCTTTTTTTTTTTAATGATATAAATTGATAAAAGTAAAAGAAAACTAGCTGGGCTAGTGATACATACTTGTAATCCCAGCCTCAGGAAGCTAAGGTTAGACCAAGGGTTCAAGGGTAGCCTTAGTTACATGGAGAGACACTGTCTCTAAATTAATAAATAAAATTATTTTGAACTACATAAACTTTTTAGAGCCCTGGAAGAGGTGGAGATATTCCAGATCATTTTACCAAATTCACAAGACCCTATGTCAGTTAAAAAAGATAGCACCAAAAAGGAGTGGAAAAGTAGGTTAGCTCCCAGGTAATGTAAGTAGCGATCATTTGTCAAGTTATTTTTTATTTTGATTTACATAATATTGCTAGGTCAAAAATCCCAGGCTCTGGACTTGTATTGCAGTGGTCTGAAGAGAGACTGGCAGCGTGCCCTTGCCCTGCGTGGGCCTGCAGATCACGTGTGTGCGTGCGTGCGTGCGTGCGTGCGTGCGCGCACAGAGAAGCCTCTGTTGAAGGCCCACTGGTTTGCAAAGGCGTTCTTGTTTTCAGGAAACTTTAGATCGGATAGACGAGGTTGCCGCCCTCATCGCCGCCGCCATTCACGACGTGGACCACCCTGGGAGGACCAGCTCGTTCCTCTGCAACTCGGGGAACGAGCTGGCCGTGCTCTACAATGACACAGCGGTGCTGGAGAGCCACCACGCCGCGCTGGCCTTCCAGCTGACCCTGGAAAATGACAAGTGCAACATCTTCAAAAACATGGAGAGGTGAGGACGGACGGTGCGGAGATGTGGGTCACGTGACTGCAGGGGGAGCCGCTGCCCCCAACATCCGTGCTGAAACAAGTGTAGTTTGAGGCAGGCAGGGTCTTGCTGCCTGGCACACTCCTCTCCGCCTTGTGTGCACAGCACACTTTTGGTGGGTGTCCCCCGAGGAGCACTTTCCCTGGTCCTCATGCTAAGTCAAAGTCGTGATTGCTCAGTCACTAGTTCGTGAGCACTTGTCCCGTTTTGTTTGTAGAACCAGATGGGAAGCAGTGGCGTGTCTCGGCGGTCCGCACCCGCCTAGCATGTACATGGCTTTGGGCTCTGTTTCCAGCCAACCAAAACCAGGTGTTTAACGTCCAGTTAGACGTTTGGAGACGGGGTCTCACTACGTGGGCTGGGGTAGCCTTGAACTTGAAGTCCTCCTGCCTCAGTCCTACCAGTGCTAGGATTAGAGGCTGCCTGGGCCACCTCATCCAGTTCAGGTTAGACCCCACACTGCAGTGTAACGGGTTTGTTTTCATAGTTCACTCTTTGTGTCTAGGCCGGTGCCCAATACAAGAGGAAAAAAGTGTCATGAGAAATATTTTCATTTGGATTTTTAAGGAAAATTTTATATAGGGTTTTTTAAAAGAGTATCCTAAGCTGGGCAGTGGTGATACACACCTTTAATCCCAGCACTTGGGAGGCAGAGGCAGGCAGATCTCTGTGAGTTTGAGGCCAGCCTGGTCTACAGAGCGAGATCCAGGACAGGCACCAAAACTACACAGAGAAACCCTGTCTCGAAAAACCAAAAAAAAAAAAAAAAAATCCTGATTTCTCAAAACTCCATTGTACCATGTCTTAGAATTTCAGAGGTGGGCTTAATATAAGTTTTGCTCACATATACTCGTAAGTACATAATTTACAGAGAATACATAAGACCTAGGGTTTCTAGTGCTGTGATTAAAAACCCGAGACCAAAAGCAGCTTGAGGAGGAGAAGGTTTATTTCCTCTTACACTTGGGTAACAGTCCATCACTGAGGGGAGTCAGGGCCAGAGCCTGGAGGGAGCAGCTGAAGCGGACGCCAGGGAGGAGCCGTGCTCATGGCTTGCAAATTTGGGTTAGAAGAAGGGCTGTCAGTTCTCTGGGCCTCCAGGTACCTCCAAGCAAGGCACATTGTTAGTGAATGTGGAGATTGTGGGCACCAAGAGAAGAGTCTTGCTTGGCGTAGCGGCACAGGTCTGTAATCCCAGCCTTAAACAGCTGATACAAGAAAGTCATGGGTTTGAGGCCATCCTGGACTACACAGTGAGACTGTCTCTGGAGAGGAGGAGGGAGAGGTCTTTGTTCGTCCCTGCTAGAACCTATCTCAGCCTGAGAACTACGTGCAGGGTACTACAGTTATGGATATGACACACAGCTATAGCATCCTGCCTGTCAGCTGATTTCTAACTTCTGTTTGGTGATGGAGGCAAGTGTATGTCCCAGTGGTGCGGGACTGATAGCTGCAGTGGACGTACATCCTGGGAAAGAGATGGTTGTACACACAGAGCGTAGGCCACTAGCCTGAATCAGTAACCTGCAGCGGTCTCTGTCTGTCGTTGGCGGAAACAGGAATGACTACCGGACACTACGCCAGTGTATTATCGACATGGTCCTGGCCACGGAAATGACGAAACACTTTGAACATGTCAACAAATTTATGAACAGCATCACCAAGCCCTTGAAAACACAAGGGAGTGAGGTGAGAGAAACTTACCCTGGGGCCCTTCATCGGGGTTCACACTCGCCAGGGACATGGCAAACTCAGACCTAGCAGGTCCCAAGTGGTAGCAGGGCCTTTGGTGGGCATGTTAAATAAGGTTTTCCATTTTTCTTTCTTTCTTTCATTTGATTTGTCTATCTAGAGACAAGCCTTCACTCTGTAGCCCAGATTGGCCTAGAACTCAGTGATCCTCCTAGTCTGCCTCAGGTGCTGGGGTTACAGAGTGAGCCATGGCAGCGGGTGGAATTTTGTTTTTCATTGGTTTAAAAAAGTCATTTAACATGCAAGTATCTGGCAGGATAACATGCAATAGAACATGCAAATAGATGTGTAAACAAGTTTTCACATTGGCCATTCCTGTGCCCTGTCTCAAAATGTTTCCTCCCCCTTTGAACATTCTAGGGTCAGTTGGAGCCCTAGAAGGCTCTTTTTTTTTTTTTTTTTTTAAACCAGGCTTAACTATGTATCTTGGCTGGCCTAGAATTAAATAGGTAGACCAGGCTGGGCTCAATCTCACAGAGATCTGCCTCTCTCTGCCTCCCAAATGATGGGATTTAAGGTGTGTGCCGCCACACCTGGCTCCTACGGGGCTCTTAGCACCACTCTCCAGTGGGTGTACCCCATGGGAGCGAGAAGGGCTGGAAGGACCCTCTGCTGTGACATTGACCTCTGGCCAGGCAGGAGCTGCCCCGTGTAGATTCCCGCATTTCCTCTCTGTAGAAAGGGACCGGTAGACCTCACGGCAGGGAACAGGGTAGAGGTAGGAAGCGCCAGGCTCAGCTGGGATGAATCACCTCACCTTGAACCTGCCCTTGTTTGAAATTATAATGTAAGGAGACTTCCCACAGTTCCCACAGATTCTTTCTGTGAATAGAGGTCAAAAGAAAAGGACTTTGTGCCCTTTGTGTATCATAGATTCTAAGACAATATGAGGGATCGTCACTTAACGTGATCTGGGTTCAGTGAAGGCTCATGATTCTCAGAATCCCTGGGGAAATGCTGGTGAGGACCGGGCTGCGGGGAGGAGGGGCTGGGGGCCACAGAGCTCTGTCATCGTGAGAAGAGCGAGCTCATTTTGTTTTTTAGTAACTGTCTTAAACAGATAAAAACAGCCCTTGAGTTCTCACCAATACGAAAAGCAGAGGCCACCAGAGAGACTGAGAGACAAGAAAGGGGCAGATGGGCCGGTCTCAGTGCCGCTGGGGGCTGCTGAACTCACTGGCCCTGCTTCCTCTTGGTAGAATGAAAGGCTGCTCAGTGCTCAGAGCACTGCAGGGCTCTGCTGTGTGACGCCTTAACTTTGTAGATCCCCGCTACAGCTCTCAGGCTCCCAGGACCCTAGGTAAGGTAGCTGGACACCAAGGGCCCATTTTGATTGCTTTGATTTCACTCGTGGTTCAGAAAACTGTCCTAAGTCCAGAAGCCCTGAGCACTCCAGAGAACCGGACTCTGATCAAACGGATGCTGATCAAGTGTGCGGACGTGTCCAACCCCTGCCGGCGCCTGGAACACTGCATCGAGTGGGCCGCACGCATTTCCGAAGAGTATTTTTCCCAGGTAAGAGCCTACGCTCAAGTCCTTTTACACACACGCACGCACACACGCGCGCACGCGCGCTCCAAATGGGGGAACACCATGAGGCTATGGACTTAAAACTAGGAAAGAGAACTCTAAAAGAAACCCTGTCTCTGAAGAGCATTTTTGATAACAAATTGTTTTCTTTATCTGAAAATGTGCTACTTTGTCTTATTCTTTGAACGTCTTTGCCGGATTTGGAACCCCGGGTTGGCAGGTTTTCCTGAAATCAATGCCCCTCACATCTTCCTGGGACAGAAGGAAAATAAATTGCTAAAGTGTTTGCAGATTTGGGAGCAGAGATAAGCACACAGATTAAAGAAGCCCAGTGAGTGGCCAGGGCCGAGGGGAGATCAGTAGCAGAGCTTTGCTTGGCACATATCAAGGGCCTGAATTGTGGCGCACGCTTTTAATCCATGCTCTTAGGAGGCAGAGGTAGGCAGATCTCTGTGAGTTCCAGGCCGGCCTGGTCTACGTTAGAGCGTTCTGGGCTAGCCAGGGCTACATCTGAGGCCAGAAGACACTGAAACATCGTATTTAAGCTGCCATTAGAAGAAAACTGTGAACCCAGTACTCTGTACCTGGTGAACTGGCCTTCAAGGACCAGGGCCAGATTAAAGCCTTCTCAGGGAAGGGAAACTGGGAGGTCATTGCTAGTAAACTGCAATGTAAGAAACGCTAAGAGAAGTTCTTAAAGGAGAAAGGACGTGATCACTGCAAACTTGACTATTCCAGATGAAAGAAAAGTCTCACAAAGATTGGTTACTAGCTGGGTAGCTATCTAAGACTTTTCTAGTCTCTGAATTTCTCTGTAGTGAGACACAGAGTTGTCTGAAGCAGAGGTTCTCACACTGCATTGCTGGTCTCTGCTGTACGTGATGTGATAGGGAAAGGGTCTAGAGGGAGTGCGTGGCCCGCCACAGAGGCAGGAGCACTTCGGCTCCTTTTGAGACTGTCCTCCCAGTGTCAGTCCCCGACAAAGGCGGGCCTCCCCGGGACAGTCTGTTCCTCAAGACCCTGAACGTGGAGGAGCTGAGTCCAACAGCATAAAGAGCGGTGCATCACCACTAGGCTTCTTCACACAAGTGCGAGGCTGGTCGCTTATTTAGTAAGTCACCGTAGTCCTGGAGTAATAGAAGAAAATCTTAGAGCTATTGCTCTAGTTACAGAAAAGGCATGACAGGACTCAGCATCCGTCGTCCCAGGAACACTCAGCACACTAGGAAGAGAAGGAAATTACTTTGTTGGAGACAGGGTCTCTGTGCATGTAGCCCTGGCTGTCCAGAATCCGCTAGGTAGATCACGCTGGCCTTTGGCTCTGGCGTGCTGGGATTAAAAACATAGTTTATGTTGCATCTAGCCACATGATATTGCCCTACTAATGGAAACAAAGCTGGGGCCCGGTGTTAGCACACTGCTCAACACTGCTGGTCTTTCCAGACTCTGCACTATGCAAGGGAGCACACAGCACATAAGACAGAAGATAACACATCTTAAAACACAGATAATGTGTGTGTGTGTAAAAATTCCAAAGGCATGTAACATTACACAAATAATTAGATTTGATCAGTGAGATCATTTGGGACAATAAGCTCCATATATAAAAGTCAAGTTGTATTTTATATACTAACAACCAAAAAATGAAACTTAAAACAGTGCTGGTTAAAATAGCAATAAAAAGCAAAAATTATTTAGAAATAAATTTACTGAGAGATGGCCAGACTTCATAAACCATTGCTAGAAACTTAAAGAACATTCCATGTTCACATATTAGAAATGGGGTGATGTGTGATCCTAATTAGTCTTAACAATAAAAACCCAGAGTCAGATATTGAGGGTGAAAGCTGAAAGATCAGAGAAGCAGAGCAGCCACTAGAGAGACTTCTTACCTCTACGAAATCACTGACCAAATTGGGGAGGGGAGGGCGAGATCCTGTCTCCACCTCCCTAGTGCTAGGATCAAAGGTGTGCGCCACCACTGCCCAGCTGTTTCTCTTTTAGACTGGTTCCATCTCCCTTGGCCCAGGGTGGCCTTGAACTCCTGGTCTTCCTGCTTCTTCCTCCCAAGTGCTGGGATTAAAGGTGTGAGCCACCACTGCCTGGCCTCTATGGTTAACTAGTGGCTGGCTCTGCCCTCTGTTCTCCAGGCAAGCTTTAGTTCTCAGAACACAAACAATATATACAACAAGAGGCTCTCCCAAGATTTTCCCGACTGGTTTTGGAAAGAGAGCACACATATCATTTCACAGTAAGCTGTCAGCCTGACTAGAAAAAGCCAAACCATGATGCTTTTAGAGAAAACTGCCACAGAATATCCCCAGTGACTTTGAAATGGACAAAGACTTTTAGGTACAGAAAACAAACAGCCATGGAAAAAAAGAAAATATACATTGGACTTCATTAAAGTTTAAAAAATTATGCTAAAAAATGAGTAACAGGACATGTTGAGAAAAAATACAAGTCATTTCTGACAAAGGACTGCATGTACCCAGGTTACATACAATAGTAAGGCAAGCCACCAGTTAAAAATAATATTTCAATAGCCATTTCACAAAAGATAGTATGGATTGCTGATAATTGCATGAAAAAAAAAACCAAAAAGACCGTACATCATCAGGGAAATTCAAATGAAAGCCACAATGAAATTCTAGCACATACCAGTAGAAAGGTTTAAATGGAAAATTCTGAGGCCAGAAGGTTTAAATGGAAAATTCTGAGGTGTGGTCCTGTACACGGAATCCCAGCACTTGGGAGTTGGAGGCAGGTTAGTTCAGCAGCTGTTTACTGAGTCCCATGGTAACTTGAGCTGTACATGAGATTCCGTCTCAAAACAACAACACCACACGCCAGAACACTTGACAGCATCGAGTGTTGGTGACAGTGTGGAGCAGATACTAGCAGACTGCAGAAAGTGTTTCTGCCACCGTGGTAGCCAGAGGAGCAGACTGCATTGTGACAGTTACAACACACGATTTACCCTGGCACTGGTAACGTCCTAGGCTGGCATTCATCTCAGTCCTCCTGCTTTCTGAGTGATTAAACTACACATGTGTGCCACCCCAGCCTGGTGTTGACCTCCCTGTTCCCTGAGGCTGACCCTCCTGGACTACAGTCACCATGCTTGGTTTGTTTGGTCCTGGGGATTGAACCCAGAGTCGCATGCAGGCAGGCAAGCACTCTGCCTTCTGAACTACAAATCCCAAGACCCGCCTTGGTTCTTCTTTTTGACAGTATCTTACTCTGTAGCTCAGGCTATACTAGATCTATGTAGCCAAAGCTGATGGCCTTGAACTCAGAGTAATCCTCCTGCCTCAGCTGCCTGAGTACTAAAGCTTTAACCCCAGCATACCCTGCTTCTTTACCCTGTTAACACAGCAGTTGATTTTCGTGCAGTGCAGCATGCCTCAGGAAATCCTGTCATGTAGATTTCCTCTGACATACTAATTGTACCAATATCTTGTTTGGGATCTTTAATCAGTACCCACAAGAATATTAGTCTGCGGGGTTTGTTTGCAGGGTGTGTGTCTATTATGGTATGTTGGCTTTCTAGGATGAACTAGAAATGTTCTCTGGATTTTTTTTTTTAATTTTGAAGAGTTTGAGAAAGATTGCTGTTGATTTTCTAAACTTTTGTTAGAATTTACGGGTGCAGCACTTGGTCCTGTCTTTTCTCTGCTGGGAGGTTTTTAGGATTGATGCTGCCACCTTGCTGGTCTGTCATTCATAGTCTTCCCAACAAGACAAGAGCCATAGCTGAGCAATAGCCACTGCGCCCTTCCTGGGGCGGGGCCGTGTTTCTGCCTCACTTCTTATGGTTCCAATGTGGGCAGAAAGATGGTGGATGGTGACGGGACCTGCGGAGGCAGGTGCCAGATCCACCCTGGCCTCTGACCTGAGGGGCCTTAGCCAGGAGACTTCCAGCTATTAGAGATGCTTGGGCTGGTTTGGGATGGCCTCACTCTGGGAACGGTGTGGTGTCTGGCAGATCTCCTTTGCCTGGTTAGTGCCACATGGGCTCTCGAAGCAGCCTGTGGGGCTGCTCCCCGGCAGGCGGGATTCTGAGATCCTGGGGTGTTCTGCTCTGCAGACTGATGAAGAGAAGCAGCTGGACTTGCCTGTGATGATGCCAGTTTTTGACAGAAACACCTGCAGCATCCCCAAGTCTCAGATCTCTTTCATTGACTACTTCATCACGGACATGTTTGACGCCTGGGACAGTAAGAACTGGCCCTTCCTGAGGGAGGGACTGGCTAGTTAGATGGTAAGTGATGTGGGGCGTAGACTTCCCAGGTGGGCTGGAGAGAAGGAAGCCATCCTGGAGGGCAAAGAGCCTGTCACGTAAGAGGTACCCAGAAGAGGACCCCAAGGATGTCCCTGGCCCCCTGTGCACTCCAGGGGTGGGGGTGTGCAGAGCTGATGATACCTGTGGGTCCGGGGGCTGAGAACAGCTTTCCCTCCGGTCCCCTCGCCCCAGAATTTGGCGTTACATTACGGCCGACTCCCTTGGTCCTTCTTTAAATGCGGGGCCAGGGCATAGCTTTGTAGTGGAAGGCCCAAGTTCCACTCCCGGAAGGAAATAAGGAAGCCCAACCCCATAAAGAAAGGCTGTGTGAAGACGCTGCATCCCTGTTTCTCTCTCCAGCCTTCATTGGCCTGCCTGACCTTATGCAGCATCTAGACAACAACTTCAGGTACTGGAAAGGACTGGATGAAAAGAAGCTGTGCAGCCTCCGTCCCCCCCCAGAATAGTGGGGACCTCCTGTCCGGGCCCCGCCCTTCCCGGCTTCTGCAGGTTCTTAGGCCTTGATGTTAGGCAGAACTGCCCCTCATCCGCAGAGGCTGTGAAAGGACGTGGGGCGTCACCCTCTGGGGCCACCATCTGATGCCGGAGCTGCGCTGTGTGTTACCATGGGCCTGGGGGCCCTGCAGAGGGGAGCCTGGCTCTCCTGGCAGCCACAGCACTGTCCCTCCTCGTTCCTCCAGCCGGCAGAACGGCCATGGCGGCTTGCCTGCCTCTCGGGAGGTGAGTGCTCCTTTTACCACACTGCTGGAGTGACTTGTCTCTTTAACCGACTAGCAAACGAGATAAAGAAGCTAAGGGTGATCATCCCAACTATTAAATGTTTTATTTATTTTATTAGAAGTTTGACATTTTCTATGAATTTAAAAATACTTCAAAGCCAAAGCCACCTTCAGATGCCACAACCAAATTCACGAGTCAGTCTCACGAAGTGTTTATGACTTGGTGCACAGACTTATTTTCGTAATGCAGATCTAAAATATAAAATGATACATTTTATCACACTGTAGAAATGTTAGACTCTTCTCGTCGGCGGTCGGTGTTAGTGGGGAAGGCATTTTGCTGGTGAGGCTCATTCTAGTGTGCAACAGAGGCCACATCTGCAGACCCGGTTCTGAGCAGCATCTGTGATCCCAGGAGTTTTGCAGGTGTGCCTTGTCAGAAAAACTTGGATGTGACCATTTTTTTCCTAAAATTTTATAATTGAATTTCCAAGAGCCTGCCTTATTTTATACCGTTTCTATAAAATATGCCCTATAAAACAAAGCAAACCGGACTACTTAGTGGTCGATATTTTATAACTAACATGGGATATTTGATTCTAGAAATGTATAAAGGCGATATCTCTTTGTGTTTTTAATGAGCATAATACTACACAGATGACACTTAATGACATGTCAGAGGGTTGGTTTCATCTTAGACTTGTATTTTTTCTGGATGAAATTAAACTGTTGTTTTTAAGAAGTCATTTGTTGCCATTTCTTTGGTATTGTCTAATAGTAATCTTTCTAAATTAGGAATAGACATGTATTTCATAGAACAAACGAGCAACTGAGCACCTCCCTGGGGTCCTGGGGACAGGGTTTCAGTTTGCACAGGCCTTTACCCTGCGTGAAGAAGACTAACTGTGGGCCCGCCTCGGAAGAACCAGCGGATCTTCCCGCCTCGTGCCAAGGGAGAAAATGAGCCCCACCAGCAACTTCAGCCGCCATGGCTGAGAGGCTGTAGGACATCTGGGCAGTTTCACCACACAAGCTGCTAACAGGGCAGTGGGAATCATAGTCTAACACTGATCAAGAGCTAAAAGCAGCAGTAGGAATTACAAAGTAAACACCATGTTTTTCAATGAATAGATCTGAAAAGACCCACAGGAGACAAGCTAGCCCAGGGGTTCTCAACCTCCCCAATGCTGTGACCCTTTAATACAGCTCATGTTGTGGTGACCCCAACCATACAACCATACAATTATTTTTGTTGCTCCTTCATACCTGTAATTTTGACACTATTATGAATCGTAAGTATCCGATATGCAGGATGTATGGTATGTGACCCCAAAGGGGTCAAGACCCACAGGTTGAGAACCACTGTTCTAGGGTCTGGGAAACAAGAAAAGCCTGTGTATGGGACTCATAACGGAAGAAAAGAAAATAGACTATGAAAACAGAAGCAGAGGCATCACAGAGCCAAGTGTATCCCGCAAACACAGAGGCGGAGTGCAGTGCTCCTCACTGTTTCTGCGAGATCCCAGATGAAGAGCAAAGCGGGAGGAAGCAGAGGTACTAGACCAGGCTCGAACTTGGTCCCGCCTGACAGCTGCAGTCCTCTGAACCCCAAGTGGAGCACGTGTTGTCGGCCCTCCATCACCGTAACAAACGTCGGAAGCGAGGAGACCTGTTACAAGGTGGTTTGGGCCCACTGTTAGGAGCGTTGGTCCACACCACCTGGGCACGTGGTGCACATCGGGTCGGGGCTGAAGGAGGACGAGGAGAGAGTCCTGGCATGCTCTTTTGGACATGCCCCTCCAAGCCAGTGTTCCCCCACTCTGAAGTCTCTACCACCTCCCAGCAGTCCCAGACTGGGAACTAAGCCGTCAAGACGTGGCTTTTTAGAGACCCCACGCTGCAGCAGTGCATAAGACACAGCCTCACGGGGTCAGCCGCAGAACGTGAGCTCAAGGAGAGAACTAGAGGCCACCACCGGGCCAGGAGACACAAGGCTTCCAGTGCCCAAACAGCCAGGAGCTCCCAACCCAGACCCGCTTCCTTAGCTACACAGGTCTTCAAAAGGCAGCAGAGGTAACTTCAGACATGCAGACACAGCTCCTTAGCGCCCCTGTGAAAGTGCAAAAGATGCCCTCTAGAGGTCAGATCCAGTAAGGGGGCAAATATCTGGACAAAAGTAGCCATAGTGTGTGTGAGAGAGAGAGAGAGAGAGAGAGAGAGAGAGAGAGTGTGTGTGTGTGTGTGTGTGTGTGTGTGTGTGTATGTAGGGGGTGTGGGGTGGTAGCAGTGACAACCAGGGACAGAGGAAAACATGCACACAAAAGGTAAGCTAAATGTTAAAGAAGTCAGGATCAATAATTGTCCTTGACATTCACCAGGAAAGGACTTAGGACAGAACTCAGAATGACTGAAGAGAGAAAGGATAAGCCATGACTAACAACCATTAGAAGCCACGGGGTAGGGTGGGGACAAGAACTGGAAAAGGTAATAGAAGCATGTATATAAATAATGTGTGCAGAACTCTGGAGATGTGTGCAAAGACACGTTCTGAGAGTAAAATGTAAAAAGTCTCAAAAGCTTGAGAAATCACAAAATAGCCATAAAAGTTATAAATTCTAGGAAAGATGTAAATAAGGCTGAAGAAGTGGCCCTGATTTGGAGATGACCCACAGAAGTCACAGAGTAGTCACATCCAGAATATTATGGAAATGGCTACATGTCACCAAGGCCCTTTGGATTAGCATGTGAACTGACCACAGCAAACGGGAGGATAGGAAATAAACAAGCTTTGCACACATTGGTAGTAGAAATTGGGTTGTTCCCACCACTTTGGAGAGCAGTCTGGAAAAAATATAAATCCTCAGCAACTTTATTTTCATATCTTAGACTTGCAAATGTTCATTAGAAGATATGCTCAAAGGATATTCTGCCTGCCTTCCTGTCGTGAAAGACTAGAAGCAGTCTGGATGTCCTTGGGAGAACGAGGAAATGATGGTGTTGTGTACAGATTATTTGTAGTTTGATTCCTAAGGCTCCCGGTGATGATCCTGCCTCCCTATGTTCACAGCAGCTCTGGTTTGGACCTGCTGACTTCCTTCCAACCATGAGAATATGGCAAAAGTCATGGGGTGCTGCTTCTGGGTATTGGCTGCAACTAGTTTCCAAGGCTGTTGTGGGCTCTTCAGGGCAAGCATCTGGCTTAAGCCTTTGGAGACTGCCAGCAACCCTGATGTCCCTCAACTGGTCAATGCATCATCTCAGTCTCCACATCCATCATTATATTACCTTGTATGTGTCTCTGTTCCCTCATCTCACAAGGACACCAGTCACCGTATTCAAGGACCACTTCACAATTGTTAAATGAGGTTGCATTTTGAGGGCACCGCCCACTGGTTCCTTGCCTAATCTAACAAAGCAGCTACCATGTCTCCAGCTGCTCTAAGGAGAGGCCCCTGGGGAAGGAAGAGCAGCCCACAGTTGACAGCCAGCAAGAACTGAATCCTGCTGGCACCCACGGGAGTCAGCTCTTCATCTAGTAACACCCCAGAAACACCTCGTTACAGCTAAGTGAGGATCACAGCTCCATTCCTCACCCAAGTAAGCCAAGGCCGTTAAAGGTGGTGGTTGTGGTTTGGTTTTGTATTTTGGTTTGGATTTTTCAAGACAGGGTTTCTCAGTGTAGCTCTGTAGACCAGGCTGGCCTTGAACTCACAAAGATCCACCTGCTCTGTTTCCTGAGTGCTGGGACTAAAAGCGTGCTCCGCCACCACCCCCCACCTGGCAGTTAAGCCAGTAAGTTTTGAGTTTGTTTTCTGTTTTGTTTTGTTTTGCCCACAGCAATATAATCACTATATCAACTATACTAGCCATTCAGAATAATGAGTTAGGGCTCTGGTGTCATCTGGGGGAAAGTTCAAGGATAATATAGAATGAAGAGTCCAAGAAACACTGTGACACCTTCTGCAGAAATGTTTCCTAATTTCCAAAACAATTCACAATTGTTGGTATGAAAATTAGTAGGAGTTTGAAGTTTGCAGATCCTATGACATGCCTTGTGTACTAGTGGCCTCCTGACATACTAACTAGCTCACCAGAATGTTCAGATGGTTCAACATACAAAAATCTGTCTATGTAATCCACCACATAAATAAACTTAAAGGAAAAAAACCACGCAGTCATCTCATTAGATGCTGAAAAGGCCTTCGACAAAGTCCAATATCCCCTTCAGATAAAGGTCTTGGAGAGATCATGGATACAAGGGACATACCTAAACATAATAAAAGTAATATACAGCAAGTCGATAGCCAACATCAAATTAAATGGAGAGAAACTCAAAGCGATCCCACTAAACTAAGGAGCAAGACAAGGCTGTCCACTGTCTCCATATCTATTCAGTACAGAACTGAAGTCTTACCTAGAGCAACGAGGAGGCAACTGCAGGAGACGAGGAGGCGCAAGGTGGAGAGGAGGAGGAAGGCAAAGTCATTATTCAGGGGTGATGTGATAGCATGCATAAGTGACCCCAAAATTCTACCAGGGAAATTCCTACTGCTGACAAACACTTCCAGCGAAGTGGTTGGATACAAGATTAACTCAAAAAAATCAGTAGCCCTCCTATATACAAATGATAAATGGGCAGATAAATTGTAGGAACAACACCCTTCACAATAACCACAAATTATATAAAATATCTTGGAGAAACTAACCAAGCAAGTGAAACACCTGTATGATAAGATCTTCAAGTCTTTGAAGATATCAGAAGATGGAAAGATCTCCCATGCTTATGGATTGGTAGTATTAACATAGTAAAAATGGCCATCTTACCAAAAGCAATCTACAGATTCAGTGTAATCCCCATCAAAATTCTAACACAATTCTTTACAGACCATGAAAGAACAATATTCAACTTCATATGGAAAAACAAAAACCCAGGATAGCCAAAATTTATTTAATAAAAGAACTTCTGGAGGTATCACCATCCTGATTTCAAGCTCTACTACAAATAGAGTAGAAACTATATAGAGTAACAAAACCATATGATATTGGCATAAAAACAGACAGGTGGGTCAATAGAATTGAACTGAAGACTGACATAAATCCACACACCTAGAGACACCTGATTTTTTTTTTTTACAAAGAAACCAAAATTATACAATAGAAAAAAAGAAAGCATCTTCAACAAATGGTGCTGATCTAACTGTATGTCAGTATGTAGAGGAATGCAAATAGATCAATATCTATCATCCTGCATAAAACTCAAGTCCAAATGGATCACAACTTCAACATAAGTCCAGATACACTGAACCTGATAGAAGAGAAAGCAGGAAATAGCCTTGAACTCATTGGCACAGGAGACCACTTCCTGAACAGAACACCAATAGCACAGGCACTAAGACTGACATTAAATGGGACCTCATGAAATGGAAAATGTTCTGTAAGGCAAAGGACACCATCAATAGGACGAAATGGCAGCCTACAGAATGGGAAAAGATCTTCACCAACCTGACATCTGACAGAGGGCTGATTCCAAAGTATATAAAGAACTCGAGAAACTAAACATCAAAAAAACAAAACAAAAACAAACTAAACTAAACTAAATAATCCAATTAGAAAATGGAGTACAGGAGTCTAGGCTGCCACTTGGGACCATGTTGGTATCTGAGGGCCGCACTGCCACCGGGGCCATGGTGACATCTGGACCTGGGCTGCTACTGAGGACCATGTCTGAGTCCGTGGTCCTAC